TTCGAGTATGAGCACAATCATTTCCTGGTGATCGGAGGGCTCGATGGAAAGTCGACAGACCGACAGAAAGAGAGGGAGAGAGAGAGAGAGAGAGAGAGAGAGAGAGAGAGAGAGAGAGAGAGGCGAAACGCGTGCTCCCTTCCTTCTCAGTTCGAAACACGAGCCCGCTGTGCCTCGTCAATAGGCTCGCCTCCGCCCGGACTTTGCGCCTCTTTTCGCGAGGAACTCCATGTTGAGATTCTCTCTCTCTCTCTCTCTCTCTCTCTCTCTCTCTCTCTCTCTCTCTCTCTCTCTCTCTCTCTGAGATCTGTTTGACACGTTTCTCCGCGAGGAAACGCAAATACGCAGATGGCCGACGAATCCAAGTCGCGCGCGATGAGAGGTGGAAAGTTCAAGGTCTCTCTGGAGAGACGTCGTGGACGCGCGAGGAGACGCAGCATCATCGAAAGCCGCATCTCGAGGAGAAACAAATGCCGCGGCCGACTTCCTTTCAGGCGTCTGAATGTCGCTTGGAGTCGAATGCGAACGCGACAAGTGCGAGAGGAACAGACAGACAGACAGTACAGACCTACGTCGCCCCCTCCGTTTCAACGGCGACGGCGACGGCGTACGTGAGCGTGTGCGTGCGGGATGGAGATAGCGAGGAGGGATAACGCGCCGCCGCTATTGTTCCGCACGCGTGCACGTGTTGCACTGGAGGGTGTCGCGAGATGAATGCGCCGCTGATGGTGGCGGCAGTCCGCCTGCATCTTTCGCCTTGCGACCTCCTCTCTAGCGAGTGTTACGACGACGCCGACGACGATGACGACGACGACGACGACGACGACGACGACGACGACCGACGACGACGACGACGACGACGACGACGACGACAGACGACGATGCCGACGACGACGACGACGAAGACGACGACGACGACGACGACGATGACGACGAAGACGACGACGACGACGACGAAGACGACGACGAAGACGACGAAGACGACGAAGACGAAGACGACGACTAGGACGACGACGAGTCGCATCCCCGCGCGCCGGCAGCCGGCCGACGTGTTGCTTTCGCTTTCTCTTTCTCTCGCGTGCCGCGTCGCAGTAAACACCTCGTAGTACGCGCGCGTTCGAGCCGAGAGGAGCAGCTGCGATTTATAGACGAAGCGACCGAGCGCCACACCTACACACGGCGCGCGCGCGTCTCGATAATTTAATAACGGACGACGGCTCCGGAGCCTGTTATTGCAACGGCGCGGCGATTATTACGGGACGGCGGCCGCGAGTGATTGATGAGTCGATCCCGCGAATTGCGTAACGTTATTCCGCGTACGAACGGCGGCGCGGCGCCGACGACTCGCCGGCGATTCGCTACGCGTCGATTTTCTCTTTATCGCGGAAAGCGCGCTGAAATTTACAGTCCGCTCGGGGACGCGGACGCGTCAGTCCTTATCGCGTCTGTCGCGCGGAGATTAGCCGTGATTTCCTCGCTCATTTCGTGCGAGCGCGCGTGCTTTGCCGACCCACGAGAGAACGAATGCTCTTTGCCGATCAGCATATATGGACGTCTCCTAATCCCGCGACGCGACATTCAATCCGTCCGTTGCGGAAGCGCTCTCGCTGCTTTTCGCCTCCGTTATCGCCCGTGTTATTGGCCGTTCTCGTTGGAGGGTGAGAAAATCGGGAATGACGCCGATTCGACCGTCCGGATGTTCGCGCGAAATGACTCGGACCGTCCGCGAGGATCGCCCGAGGATGTCGCGGACTTTCTCCCCCTGTCTCTCTTTCTCCCGCCCTCTCTCTCGCTCTCGCTCTCGCTCTCGCTCTCGCTCTTTCTCTTTCCTTTCTCTCTTTCTGTTGGAATGAAAAAGTCGCGGGGAGAGAGCGAGAGAGAAAGAAAAAGACAGAGAGAGAGGGAGAGACGAAGCTCGTAACGAAATTACTCGTTCCGAGAGCCGGAGAAACCGGTTCTCTGTCGCGAATCGAGAGTCTCTCACTTGCTCGCCGGTGCGCGCGTGTGCGTGTGCGGTCTCCATTCGGGCGCGAGTACGCACACACGCGAGCGTCGTCGCGCGGAGATGCCAAGGATTAGAGATGGGTATATCACGTCGCACGCGCGCGGCTTTCCGAGTCTCGCGAGCGGCGACCTTGCCGCATGGATTTCGCCGCTGAGAAACTGAGGAGAGAGCCGCGTGTCGTGTAGGAAGAGAGAGACAGAGAGAGAGAGAGAGAGAGAGAGAGAGAGAGAGAGAGAGAGAGAGAGAGAGAGAGAGAGAGAGAGAGAGAGAGAGAGGAGAGAGAGAGAGAGAGAGGAGAGAGAGAGAAAGAGAAAGAGAGGACGAGACAGCCGGTGAAATTCTCGGAGACGCTCCTCCTCGACGTCCGAAATAATCCGCGAAATTGAGTTGGCCGCTGCTGCTCGCTCGAGCGAACGCGCAGACTTCGATTCGCAGACCGAGATCAATCCCGCCCCTCTAATCCCTCCTCCCCGGTGCCGACTACGTATGTTACATTCTCCGCACGGGAAATCTCGGCCTGTGCCTCTTACGTAACGGCGTCTTCGTGTTATGTAAAGATAACAGCCCCACGGATGTAATATCTTTCACCGGGCGCGCGGAAAGGACGGCTCGCGAGGGCCGAGAGGGGGGGGAAGTGTGTGTCGCTGGTGAGCGACGTGTGAAACTTCCGACTGTCCTCCGTGACGTGTAATAACGTCGCGATTACCGCGCCCGCGCGAATAATTGATTAAATCGCGCCTCGTGTGCGTGCGTGCGTGCGTGCGTGCGTGTGAGTCGTTGCGACGCAGCTACTTCACCGCCGCGCGTCGCTTTCCATCTCGCGGAGAATCGCCGTCTATCGCGCGCGCGACAGCAAGAAGCGTCTCTCTCGCGCCGCGACTAATCCCTTTGTTCGCCCTGCCGGCTATGCATTACGATTCATTATAATGAAGATAGTTTGCGAGATAGACCACCTCGCGGATAATGAGCCGGTTATATACGGAGCGTGCACACTGCGAGACTGTCTTGATTATAATGAATGTTCCCCCGTGCCGGGAACAGGGCCGAAGAGCCGAGCGAGCGAGAAGGCGATTTGCGCCTTCCCGGATGCTGCCGGTGCAGCCCCGTCGATGCATAAGCGCGAGTGGAATTCGAGAATAAGAAACTGAGGAAAGAGAGAGAGAGAGAGAGAGAGAGAGACGAAGGGGAGGGGAGGGAATGTGCGGAACGAGCGACGAACACGGCTTATACCGTTACACATTTCCGCGCGAAAGAGCGTCGTCGTGAAAATGACCGTTTCGCTCCTTAAGCCTTTCTCCCGGCCGGCGCCAACTCCCGGGGAAAGAAGGCCACGCGCTGCTGCTTTTCCACTTTCCTCGCGTCGCGCTGAATGTAGAATCGCGGGGCTCTCCTCCTGCGTTCCGTCGTAGCGGGGAATGTCGCGCCGCGCCGCGCCGCGCCGCGTCGACTCGTATCACCGTCGCGCGTCATAGCGAATTTCTTCTTTCTTTTATCTCGCCGGGTCGTGCATGTGTGTGCGTAATAAATTTTGCGCACTGCGATCGCGCTATATTTGCTTGAAATTGTCGGTCCGTCGCGTTGTGCCACTCGCGGCGGACTGAACATTTCACTTCGTAACGCTTCGCTTCGCCCCGCTGTTGCGGGACAAGGAAGAGCCTTCTTTTTTTCCGTTGGAGCGCCCCTCCCCACCCCTCCCTCTTCCTCCTTCGTTCGTTCTCGGTTTGACGCGTGTACCGTTAACGCGTTAAAAAGCTCGTCGCGCTCTCGCGGTCGCGACGAATTTCTCGATATCGGCCGGGGAAATGCGGGCGTAAAAGGGAAATGTACTCGCGGCCTCCCCTCCCTCCCTCCCTCCCCCCCCGGCGGCTGTCGTCGCTAATTTACACACGCGCGCGCTCGGAGCCGGCCGATTCGGCGCACGTCCGCCAAGTGCAGTCGGCGACTTCGCGTTGAATTTTTTCGCGTCGCTCGCCGACGCATCTCCTCGCCTCATGCATATTCCAGCGTTGATTACCGAGAATGCCGCGCTATTGTTGCTTACCGGAACAGCCGTTGCTCGCTCGCGTTTGCGCCGCGAAATTCCAAACTCGCGGCGCGAAACACAATATTCTCGCGCTCTCCTCTCCTCTCTCCCTCGTCCCTTCCCCTCTCTCGAGCCGGGCCACGAACATTTCGATATGCGCCGCGACGTGAGGCGGGGAACGGCGAGAGACGTGTACGAGAGGATTGTTTTCATCCGTTCGTCAGGAGAGTGCCGTGCGCGGGCGATGTTCATTTTGGCGCAGTTGCTCGTCAAGTAATCGCGCGTCGCCGTTCAATGAAATTACGCGGCGATAATACTCGCACACACATACGTTTGGTGAGAAAAAACGTGGACGGTGGCGAGCGCCGTTTCGGTATTTCGAAATAAGACTGGCGAACGGCGGTCGGGAAATGGGAGAGAGTGAGCGATAGGGCGGGAGAAAGCGCCAAATACGTAATTATTAGCATGAACGATGATCATTAGCGGCGTTATGCACCGCGTGTACATGAGACCCGTGTGAGAACGCGATCGCTCGCGTGTCTTTAAAGCGGGATTAACCTTTTGCAAAGTTTTGATGGATCACCTGGCATTACAAATTGCCCGCTTAATCCATCAGCAAGTTCAGCAATTGCGGCAATTATTTTAGCGCTCGCATGCGCCTCCTCGTCTCGCAGTCAGCTCGTCAGCTCGAGTCGCGCTTGGAATTGCGTGCGTGCGTGCGTGCGCGCGCGCGCGCGCGCGCGAACGGCGTTAATCCGTCGTTTAGCGCGACAAGCGAGGACGACTACCTCGAGAAAAAGCGCGGAAAGTACATTCCCCGGAATAAGTCCGGGAAGAGCCGCGCGATTTGAATTCAAGCTTCTCGACGTGCGCCAAGTTATATATATATATATATATAGTTAAGTTCCTTGTTTCCGAGGAATCTCGCAGAACACACTTTCGCGACTGACTTCCGTTTCTCTTCTGTCCCAGGTCCTTCGTCTTTCGTCCCTGAAGCGGCTCTCTCACACGTTATGCTGCAGTCTGCGTAACGATCGTCCGACGTGTATGGCACTGCAATGAACAAGTAAGTGCGCGAGTCATTTCTTTTGGAATCATAGGAAGTAGGCTGAGCGGCTGCGAGCGGCTCACAGTGCGCGCCAATCAGATCGCTCATTCTTGACACTTGGAAGCGCCAACTTGTTGAAAGCGTTGCTTTCGGAATCCCTTGACTTTTTGTCTTTCGTGCTTCCCCCCGCCTCCTCTGAGAACAACTCTGCTCCTCCAGCGTGTCGGTCGGGAGAAGCGCCTTCGATTCTTGGCGCTCGATCGGCCTCGTAGATTCCAATCGCGCGGAGGCGATTAATAAGAGCCGCGATCGGGGCGAGGGATGGACGCCAGCGGGATGGACGCGTCTCTCTCTCTCTCTCTCTCTCTCTCTCTCTCTCTCTCTCTCTGTCGGTCGGTGCGCGGTCGTAAGAAAACGCTCGTTTCTACGGTTACAATTGCGATCGCGGTCGTAAATTAGCTCGCTCCCGCTCGCTTACGTCGCGCTCTCTCGTCGCTGGAGGGCTCGCCGTGCCGTCGGGGCCGCCTCGTATGACATAAACGTTATACGAGTGAGTGCTCGCCGTGTACTCCCCCTCTCCTCTCTCTCTCTCTCTCTCGTCTCTCTGTTGCCGACGTGCGCGATATAGTTACCCGCATAGTTACGGCCGAGGATTATCATTGCCGGTGCGCGTAATTGCCTGCACACACGCGCGATCACGAGACCGCAACGGGCCCCGTCGGGACCCTGCTGCTGCACGCCCGACCGACCGACCGACCGACCGACCGACCGACCGACCGGCCGGCCGGGGTTGCTCTCTCTCTCTCTCTCTCTCTCTCCTCGGCAACCTGAGGCAAGGTTAAACATCGCGCGCGCGCGCGTATGCACATGTCGGTGCGTATCCGCCTCTCGTTACGCATTCGGCGATACCGCATGTCATGTGAGTATCCCATGTGACAAGTTATTGCGACTTATTCAGCCGGTTTCGCCGAAAAGTCGCCGCGGAGGCAAGCTCGGCTCCTTTTTCGGAAGCGATCGGGAGTATTATATCGCACGTGCTTGAAGAACCGTCATAATTTATACTACATAATTTATATAAATCATAAATTAACATTTGTAAATTGTCGTAATTTATCGGGCGATTCTCTCTCTCTCTCTCTCTCTCTCTCTCTCTCTCTTTCTCTTTCCTTCTCTTCCTCTCTCTTTCTCTCCCTTTCTCTTTCCGGCCGAAAGTTCGCACAAGTTTTGCAAAAGTTTCGTAACGAGGTGAAAGAGCAATTTATTGTTGCAAACACGAGCCTTCTCCAAGCCGCCGCGCCGCCGTCGGGGGGGGTGTCTTAGTGAGAGGCGCGTGACGTTAATTAAAAACACGTTTCGGGAAGATTGTTCGTTCAAGGCCTCCCGCGACTTTCGCCCGGCTTCGCTCGGCGGAGAGAGATCGTATAAACGGACTAAAACGACTCGCGGTGGCGACGAAGTCGAGAGTACGAGAGAGAGAGAGAGAGAGAGAGAGAGAGAGAGAGAGAGAGAGAGAGAGAGAGGGGGGGGGACCTTTGTCAAGCCGAGCGTCATGTTATCGCCGTGCGGTCGCGTCGTCGCGACGACGAGTTACGACGTAACGGCGTTTTAAAGCCTTCCCGCTCCTGCCCTCGCCCCTTCTCCTCGCTGTGCTCTTTTTTCCTGGCTTTTCGCGACGGGTCGTGCGTGCAACCGCCGCGGCCACGTCGCGGCTCGCTCGCGTCCGACGCGCGTTCTCCCACAGCCGCGCAAGGAACAAAGTCGGGAAGCGCGGAGTGCCGTGCTCGCGTTTCTATCCGCGACGCAGCAAGGCACGTGCGAATGCTTCGTCGGTTGCCGTCGTTAGTGCGCGCATTCGCGTGTTCCTCGGCGGAACGTCAAAGAGACGGGTCGTCGATAGGCTTGCCAACTGTCCGGTTTTCAGAAGTCTTGTCCAGTGTCCGGTTAATAAGTGAGACCGGACGTTATATATGTCCGGTTTTTAAGTTATATCCAATCTCAATGGAATGAGAGTTCAGATTTAAGCAACGTTTCTCCGTTTCAAGCGCCTACAAACGAGCGAGCGCCACGAAAAGCCATAATAGTAGATGATCTGCCGATTCATCATTCCATATATATTAAAAAAGTAATAGTTTATTATTTTACTCAATTAAATCTTGTTTATAAAATTGTTTGGGAATTAATATTGTGAGTAAATTCTTGTCTTATTTTGTATTTAATGTAACGTTATGATTATTATTTCTGTCCGGTTTGGATTTGTTACTAAAGAAGAAAGGTAATTTTTACTCTTGGATCTGGCAACCCTAGTCGTCGACGCGCACGATCGACCTGCATCTCGCGATTGCGCGAGGTTATCCTCTTACCGCCGTAAACCGCCTCGCGCTTCGCTTTTTTCGACCTTCTGTTGGAAAATCCGACGCCTCAAAACGCTCGTTTGCGTAAACGTTCCGTCGCGAAAGGAGACGAAGAGCAGGAAAATCAGAGAGAGAGAGAGAGAGAGAGAGAGAGAGAGAGAGAGAGAGAGAGAGAGAGAGGGGGAGAAAAAGAGAGACAGGAGGATAAATCACTCTTCTTCGTCGCTGGCGGAAACTTAAGTTTCCGATAGAAACCTATACAGCAATCGTAGGCGGCATGATGGTTTTTGGATAGGAAGAGTTAATCCATCACCGGATCGAAAATAGCGAGATCTGGATGGGCATCGGCGATGTGTATCGCGGGCGGGCGGGGTGGAGGGGGAGAGAGGGATGGTCGAAGGGGGCCGCGGAATTGAATGCAACGAGAAAGGGCGGCGCGCGTGTCGGGCCGGCTGAAATTGAAACGTCGTGCGGAAATTGAACGGCACGGGCGAAACCTTTCGGTCCGGCATCGACGCGGAAATGGAAGCGTCGCTTGTAAACTGAAAAGCTTATAAATCAGCCCGACATTTTTCGCGGCGCGCGGCCGCAGCCGCGTATTGGAGCGTGAGAATTTCGCGGCGCGGGGCCGCGATCGTCGTCGCTTTCTTTCGACGCTGCTGCTGCTGCTGCTGCTGCCGATCGCAAATATCGAGAGAGGGGATGGTCGCGCTTCTTGAGAATTGACGGTGACCCGTCAGCAACGACGCGACGACGTCGGCAAAACGAGCGAGGCGCTCGGAAACGTCCGAGTATCAATTTTGTAGGCGTCGTGGAATTAATAAGTGCGAGAAGCACGAGGCGAGGGCCGTCCGGTCGATCGCGGAGCGCGCGCGCGCGCGCGCCGGGCGTTTCGCTTACGGTCACGATCGTCGCGAAAGTAAAAGTCGCGCGGGGATCAAAGTTTTCTCTTCGATTCAAATCTCCTTCGAGCGCCGTCTCTCGCTGTCTCCACTCCGGTCTCTTTCTAAACACGCACTTCCAACGATACGATCTTCCAAACGCGCACGCGCGAGAGAGAGAGAGAGAGACTCTCGCACGACTTTCAGGCGCGCGCTTTCGCGAAAGAATATTTCGTGCTCGGGTATAACCGAGAGAGAGAGAGGGGGGGGGAATCGAGAGAGCAGAAGAGAGCAGAGCGATTTCTACGAGGAGGCACTCCTCGATTCGATGAAATACGCTTATTAATAGCCGCGTGCCGAGGATCGATTTTCTTCGGCGAACCGACGCGTGTTTGGCTCTTCTTCAAAAGTGCGCGCTACTTTGCCAAGTGCAAGGATATTTTGTCAACGCGACCAAGTGGCAAGATTCTCTCTCTCTCTCTCTCTCTCTCTCCCTCTCTTATATCTCACACTGTCGGGCGATCGAACGCACTTGGAGGAAGCCGGCGGATCCGATTACCGACGATTCGCCGGCGGCGAATTTCACTCATCGAGTTGTTCGCTCGCTCGTTCACGGGATCCCGTGTCGTCTTGCCGTGCGCGTTACTTCCTGCCTCGTTCGCGCTTTCTTCGTGCGACTCGAGCCCGCGGGCGTCGCGTTACCCTGAACGGCGCGTGCTACCGCGTAGCCGGCGATACGGTGCGTTTACATATGGCCGCTCATCACCGCGAGATCACGTCTCTTGAATCTCCATCGGACGCGCGTGCGCAACCCCTTTGTGATCACGCTCGCGTGATCACCTCCGCGGCGTGACGACGATCGCGCGTATCCGGAAGCGGCAGATCGCCATCCACGCTTCCGGCTCCGGCCATCGCGCGCTCGCCGCGACGGCTGATCGAGAAACTGATCTTCCAAGCTGACAGCGTCAGCTGTCAGATTATCAAACGTAACTTCGCCACGCGCGCCTCCTACCCGACAAAACCCCTGAAGTGTGGGAGGGGCGTCGATGACGCCCAGGTGCAAGCGAGATGACAGCAGAGCTCTCGATGACATCAATATTGAAATTGTGCGCGGCGCGGAAGGTTAATCCCGGCCTCTGTATTTACAGTGCGTGCAACTTTGCACGCTTCGACACGCGCGGCTGATACTTTATACATGAAGAGAGTAGAGTAGCCCGGTAGATTTGTTTCCGCGGAACTTTCCTCCGGTAATCTAGGCGAGCTCGCGCGCGACTTACAGAAGTTCGCACGAGTCTGTAACATGCGGTTTGCAGCAGATAAATAACATACACAGGAACGGGAAGGAATATCAGTATCGTGCAGAAGAGGGTTGTCGTGCTGTTGTCGACTTCCACCGCTCACCACTGACGGTAGTTCTAGCTTGTTCTACTCGAGTACTCCGTACAATTCAACCATTTGCAATCATTGTTCCGTCGTATAATTATTTTTAAATTAATTTTAATTTCTGGCGACAGCGCGACACACTCGGTGAAAACGCGTCGTGCCGTCGACTTGTTGCACTTCTGACGGTAGTTCTGGCTTGTTCTACCCGAGTGCCATACAATTCAACAACCATTTGCAGTCATTGTTCCGCCGTATAATTGTTTTTAAATTAATTTTAACTTTTGCCGTCAGAGCACGATATTCGGCGAAAACATGTCGTGCCGTCGACTTACTGCACTTCTGACGGTAATTCTAGCTTGGTCTACTCGAGTTTGCAAATGGCTGAATTGTATGGAACTCGAGT